TTAGAATCAACAAGTGGTTTTAAAATGCATTTGTTTTCTGGATTAATGTGATTTATGCCTTGTATCAGGTAATCTGTAGTGGTGTTCTTTTTGGCTATCTGGACGTAGTTTTTCATCAACACAAATCACTGCAATTACATGATTACTAGAAGGGAGAAGGTTGATCACCAATGATAAAGCCCAAGATTGGATTAGTGTCGTGTTTCTTATATCTTTGTTCTTTATCTTAAAAAGCCATCCTGAGTTGCTTTTTTTTCTGGTCCAACTCTCACACTTTTTTTATTTGCCTGTTTCCTGCTGCTTGAGTGAGAACCATTTAAGATATTGGTAGGTTTTCTGAGTGCAAACAGAATGGCTTTTAAATTGCAGTTTCACGAACAGCTTTTTACTGGTGAAAGTGGCATAGTTTTGAGTAACCAAAGATTTTAGTATAGTATCATATTGAGGTGTGTTGAAAAACCTTTAAAACAATACCATTTGAGTGTCTTTACTGGTCATATGCTCTCAATTTGCATTGCTATGAAGATACCCCGGGAGATAGCTAGAAGCCGTTGAGAGAAATTGAGGAGTTGGATGTTGGATTGTGCAACAAAAGATAGTAACTGTTGTAATGAAGCCAAAATAATAATAAGTAGTAGAGTTGAATCCCTACTGTTCCTACAATACTGGATATGTTTTCGGCTTGCTTATTTTGACTGAAACTTCCACTTGCATTCTTGAAATGTTATGATATCTAAGAAACTGCTGCATTGTAATCTTTATTTTGTCTGTTTTTAAAGGCATACGATGGGTTTGCCAGTTTAGGAATATCGCGATTGCTGGAACCTTCTGACATGGTTTTGTTAGCGATACCTGACAAGCTGACTGTTATGACCTATCTCTATCAAATAAGGGCGCATTTCTGTGGCCAGGAATTAAACGTGGTTCAAATAGAGGAGAACAGTAGTAAAAGCACATATAAAGTGGGTAACTATGAAACGGACACAAACAGTTCTGTCGACCAGGAAAAATTCTACGCAGAGCTGAACGACCTGAACCGGGAGCCCAAGCTGCATCCACCAGACAGTGGTTTGGCAGACTTTGCTTCTCAGGATGACTCTGTATTTGTAAATGACAGTGGTGTTGGCGAATCTGAAAGCGAGCATCAGACTCCCGATGACCACTTAAGCCCAAGCACAGCTTCCCCTTCTCGCAGGACTCGAAGTGACACAGATCCCCAGAAATCCCAGCAGAGCTCTGGAAGGACTTCTGCATCTGAAGACGTTGGGAAGTGTAGTAGTACAGATACAACACAAGTGCAGCCTACATTGGGAAGAAAGAAATTTCTGATAGCTGACACTTTAGGCTTGAGTGACTTGGCACATGTCAGTGATCAAAAAGACGATGTGTCTCCCACAGTTGCTTGTGAAGATAACAACAAGAGGAGACACCAGAGCTCAGACAGTACCATTGGTTTCTCAGAGCAAGAAAAGCTGCGATGTATAGGATCCACAGAGAGCACAAGAGCAGATCCTGGTTCACCCATCAAAAAGCCGGGTTTATCTCCTACTTCTAAGCTTGGATACTCTTATAATAAGGATATGGATCTTGCAAAGAAACCACATGCTTCTCCGAGGCAAACAGAATCTGATTCTGACAGTGATGCCAGAACAGCTTTAATTCACACAGATCAAACTGCAAAAACAGCCCAGGTAAGAAATTTAAACTTTCTTACGCCTGTGAGTCAGAATGGAGATGCTGTTCAAGTTCTTTCTCTGTTTTTGTAATTTACGCTACATCTTCAGTATAAATGGTGAGCGGTGTATTTTTATTGTTAGGCAATAAATATTTTGACTGAAAAGTAGATGGTGCTGAAAAAAGCCCATTACATGAAAAATCATTTCTAGGAATTGTCCTACCACTAATCTTTCCAATCTCTCTCCAATTAAAGGAAGTTGTATTCTCAACTATCTTGAAGATGGCTCCAAGGCATTTAGCACTGAGTGTGGCAACACCTTTCTTCTGAGTATTGCATACTGAAGCAAGAGCTGGAAAAAAGACTTATCAATTCATTGATCCATATTTAAAAAATTTAAAGTTTTGAATACCTTAAAATATACCAAAGGTATTTCAAAATCTTGTCTGAGAAACCACACGGCCTTGTGAACATAGCCATGATGGTGAGGTAGAAACTCCAGAATATTAAGTTGTGCTGTTCATTGAGTGGCCTCAAGCACGTTACTTAACCACAATATCATTTTCCTTTCTATAAAGATAAAAAGTATCTACCCACCTATCTTGCGGATTTATTATAAGGATGAAAATTGAATATTATATAAATGCTGAGTATTATCAGTAAAGCATATTATCACAAAAATATGTAAAAAATGTTACCAGCCCTGTTTACAAAAATGTCAAAGCAGGCTTGTAATTTTAGTCCTGTGAAGAGCTTTTTTGAGTTTTGGCTTGCTTTGGCTTTCTGCCATTAGCTCCCATGAGAAAAGAGTGTAGCCAGTTTTTTGGTAGTGTGGACTGCTTCAAATATGTCTACATTTTTTCCTGAGTAAGTGCCATAAAGATTCATTTTATTGCAAGAGAAGCACTCCATAGATGGGGGATAATGGCCAAATATTAGTCCATAGCCAGATAATTTCTTTCCTTTAACCAGTGAAGTCTCATCAAGTTTCTCTTGATTATCATTTGTGTACTGGATGAGAAAAGAACAGCTTGACCCATACAGAATAATAGAGCAGGACAAGACAGGACATCTCCTCTATGAAGATTTTGATGTGCAAGGGTGTAACAGGCCAAGAAAAAGGAAGAGTTGACATTGAAGATGGTTCTCTGATGTAATCGTCTGTGCATTTGCACATGGTAATAAAATCTCGGATACGAGCCTCGATCTTAACCTTGAACACTCAGTTGTTGGTTAGAGTCAACTGTCTCAGTTTCCACGTGGTTGTTGCAGGAGCACAGCCTGCAACATCTGTCCCAGCTCTCTCTCATCTAAAGGCCTGGAGATGTGTTTTCCCAGAGTCTTCACAGTTACCTTGGCTAAGAAGTCAGCGCTTGCGAGTACATGTGTATGGGAGCTGCTCATGTTACCTATGAATAAGCCTCCCTTCTGTTATTTCTACTCTGCAATATAATCGGTCATGTGTATGAAGAAGGGACTTCCTTGTGGATATTCATAAAAGAAGTAGAAGCAGATATTTTTGCAGGTTTTTTGCCTTGTACCCAGCCTCTTTGTGTTCAGTTTAAGTTATAAATGAGCAATGCCCATATAAGTAGCCAACGAAACATTATATTTGCATACATATTAAAGTAAATAAGTAAACACATAGTGCATTTAACATACCTTCCATGAAGCCAATTATTTTTTTTCCACAGTTGGAGTTTAAAGGCATTAAATATTGATAGTAATTAAGTTTTAAGGGGAGGGAACTCTTATTTACATTATAAAGGCAGATGACTTTTTTTAAATTTTGCATTTTGATCACTTTTACTTTTCTATAGAATGCTCTGTCACCTCATGAAGCTGTAACTCATGTGACTCCTGACCGTTATTATATAGGAAGGCTTCTGGCTATTAACTACTATATAAACGTTAAGTACCCTGAGGCTGCCTTGCTGTTAATTGTATTTCTTTATTTTTAAGCAACGTATGTTGTCAAGACAGGAAGAACTTAAAGAACGAGCAAGAGTTCTGCTTGAGCAAGCAAGAAGAGATGCAGCTTTAAAAGCAGGGAGTAAGCAGCTGACCAATACGATCATCCCAGCCCGCAATAAGCAGCTGAATGATGTAAGAAATATCGGCCAGTATGGCGGTTTACGTAGTTAAAATTTATTGTACGTCTGTGTGCTTGGCAGGGGGGACGCACATCCTTGCAGAATATTTCTTTTCCGCTCTGAATTTCTCTGATGTGTCATGTACCCTTAGTTCACTTTTAAAGCCTGTTTCTCCTGCTGTTATGGCCAACAGAAAGATGCCTTAGACTTCACTGGAAGCAGAGAGCTGGGAGCACCTTCTTTGATTGGCACTGCAGTTTCTAATGGGACGAAAAACAAAAGTTACTTGTTAAATGATAGTGAAGTAATTTATGCTATTTTTTATTACTTCTCTTTTTTCAGTTAATGTAAATGCATTCCCTGAGCTTGTGATGTCAGCTGCTTGCTGCTTCCTAAGTGCTGTTGCAGTGAATGAAGCTGCTTGTGACAGTCTTGCAAAAGAGTTGATGGAACAATTCCTTTTTAATCACCAAAGTTGATTATGCTGGTGAGATGGGAAAGCAGAGCTAGGGAATGAGCTCCAGTGTTGAAGCAGCTATGGTTGCACCTCCACTGGCCTCCGTGGTGACCTGGAAAGATGCATACTCTCTGGAGATGAAAGCTAATTAATTTTTATGCAAACCTTGGCAATGTGGGTTTTGTGATTCTAACTATTGCGCATTAGGGACTGTACTGGCAACTGAGAATGTAAATGTAACTGAAAAATAATGATACAGAGAAAGGCTTGAATCTTTACTGATTCACATCTTTCAGAACCTAGTCCTCAGGGGCAGATTCTGCTTTTTACATAAATGGGATCATACAATCAAAAAATGAAGACAGTGATTTACATGTCTCGTTTCATTCTCTTAGCTCTCTTGGATCCATGCTGTACTTTTTTTTTTTTTTTTTTTTTTTTAGGTTTGTTGGTTTTTTGGCTTAACAATTCCTCTCCTCAAGCTGACACTCCTTTTTTGTTTAAAATATATTCATCTATGCAGACAAGTCTTATTTGTATAATGAGAACGTAATGATATATAAGCAATTTTTTTTTTTTACTTTGTATTTAAGTTTTTCCTAGATAAGTATATTGTAGTATAAATTTCACTTTGGATTTTTTTTTAAATTAGTTTTTCATAAAGCAAACAGCATTAGAGGAGAGATACTATAGGCAACTACTCAGGCAGGAGCAACTGTAATTAAAGTTACCTAACATTTTTTTTATGACAAGCTCCTATTTTCAAAAATTTTATAACTTTGCTAGTATTTCATTGTTTGAGCTGAAATTTTCCCCATCAGCTCTCTGCCTCAGGGTAGTATTTTTTTTGGAGGGGGTTTTTTACTTCAAAAAAAACCCGTTCAACTGTTCTCTGTGTTATGTTGTTTAAAGCATTGTTTTATCTGTGTTAAAAAATGTCTTATGGGAAGAAGGTTCCATCCCCTTGAAAAATCTGTTCAAAATAATCCAAGTTGTGTTAATAGCACAGTCTTGTCCGAGAGCCTTGAAGTTCAGAAAAGTTAGTAAGTGTCAGTAAAAATTGTCTGTATGGACACAGCACAGCAAGAGCATCTTTTACCATTGCTCCTCTAAGGATCAGGGCCCATTCTGTTGCAGATCATGGTATTGGAAAGCAAAACTTTCTCTTTTAGACTCAAACTCCTGCTGATGAAATCCAAAGACGACAAAAAGGAGCTACTCTGCTGGCATGGAGAGGAAAGATACCCTGGATAGATGGCAAGGAGGGAGATGGCAATGTGAAATTAGACAAAAATGAAGACTGTGTCTAGGCCATGAAAACGAGCTGAAGGATAGGAGATGGGGGCAGAGTTTTCAGGGTGAGAGTCAGGATTGCATGGTTCAGGCAGCCCAGTTACCCATAGGACCTTATTTCATTTGTTACAGAAGCTGAAAAATTAATTAGAAGCCTGCAGGAAAGGGAAGGGCAGTCTTTTAGGGGTGCTTTGCAAAGCTAAAGTTGATTGCTGCCTCCATCAGAAGCTCTTTATCATGTTGGGAAGGTACCTTCAACCCAATATACTCAAGGTGGCAGATTCCTGATTTCCAACCCAAGATTCTTGGGGACGGATTTCTGGAAGTTTTGGATGCACCCAGCTGTAGCCAAGTCAAGGAGAACTATGCTATGACAAATGGTCCCGGCCCCTCTGAAATCCTGGGCACTCTCAGCAAAGAGGTAATGAGCACTCTTGACTTAAGTTGACTTAAGCAGATAGCAGAAGAATAACAAAAGCTCCTCAGCTCAGAAGGGTGTTGTGGAGATGTAATTTGGAAGCGCTTAGATACGATAGTGAAGAGTGCCACAGAAATGCTCTGGAAGAAATCAGTAATTCTGTGTTCAGAGAAAAGTTTAAATAGTGTGGTTTAAACCAGGTGTAGGGCAGACAGTGAATGATGAGAGTGAAGTGAGATATTGAACAGTTATTCATTCCCTAGACACTGTCAGTCATGGCCCCCCCGTATCTTGTAGGGGAAAAAAAGTATGGGTTATGCAATTAAAGGCTATACAAGATGAGAACCAATGCAAGGTTGTACAGCTCGTGTAATTTCAACATTTTCTAACTTTTGAGTGCTTGACTTGCCAAGCTCAACATTGTCCTAATGCATTTCAGTGGGAAACATACATTGTGAAAGGGAGGCATCTTTAATGGAGGCTGATATAGCATTAATATTTAATATAAAGTTGATATATAAATAGTTATATAAAGCTGTATGTAACATGTATATATATAACATACATATCCATACATGTGTATGTTCTGAAAGAGGATTTATGTATGCATCAACATATATAGGTATAAGATAAAGTACATTGATTTCTGGTTTTCTTTAACATATCTGATCTTCAGAGAGATGAGACGTTTCCATTTGATGTAGTTGTGCCAGTTTACTACAGGTCATTGCGTATTTGATCGCTAGAAAATAGTACAGACATTTCTATTCAGTGTTTTCTGGTCATTAAGGTTAATAAGAACTTTGACTCGAAGCAGTGTTGTATGTCAGTGTGCAGTAATGTGTAGTAGTGTGATCCAAATGAGAGTTATGATAACGAGAATCAGCATTTAGTAGTGGGAATTGGACCAGGCTCATTTTGGGGATGGATTGAGAGGGTTTCAAAAGAAAATGGTTTAAAATAGGAAGATCTAATTTTAAATAAGAAAACTTGGAAGAGATAGTCCAGGGCCAATACTTAAGAAAGTAACTCTTGAAGTTCGCAATTGCACCTTTTTTGATACCCTCACGAAAAGAGCTTTAAGCAGCCCAGTCTTTCAGAGTGTGCTCTGAAAAGCCCCGTCACCCCAGCTAAGCTAAACCTGCAGAGTCATTTGTTACTTTTGAAAATCTTGTCCTATAGGCCTTGCTGTTACCACTTTACGTTTGTCATACAAGAACTATGAATCACTTAGTAAACAGGTGAGAACAATATACAGTGCGTGGGGTTGTATTGCTGCTTGAGGTTAACAAAAGAGAGGAAATTTCCATGTCTGTTCCATGGTCACAAATGCAGGTTACTTGGTATGTGCTCATCTGATTTGTTTTGGTGAAAGTCTTTCTTTTTTTGAAAAAACACCCCAGTGTTCCTGTTTCTCCTCTAAGTGTAGAGCAAATACTTTAGACCTTCTTCATCCTAAGCGTTATCCTTCCTCTGGTAGAACCAATATTGTGTTCTTTTTTTCAGTAGTCGTGTACTCTGGGCTTGCTTTTTTTTTCTTTTTCCTTTTTTAAACAAAATCTTTGTCTCTTTATTGACCATTAACTGGCTGTTCATGAAGTACTGGTTGTTTTCCTGTGGCATGTCCATTCTCTTGGCTGGTTACCTCTTTTTCTTGAGTCTTCTTTCTTACTACAGTGTGCTTCTGTCTTCTCATGTTTGTGCTCTGGGGTTAGGCACATATCAGTATTCTCACTTGCTTTACTTTTTTTTTTTTTCCCCTTTTTAACTCAGAAATTGATGTTGTGGGAGCAGAAGATTAAGGCACTGGATTTGCTTGTATACCTTAACTCAATCCCATTTTCCTCTGAATCACGTATTTCTCACTGCATCCCAAGCTGTATCCTTTTCCCCTTCTTCAGTTGGTGTTGTCTTGTTCTTTCCTCTCTCTCAGACTGTATTTCAGCTGTCTGCCCTGGCCATTTCAACTCCCCTTCTCCTTTTTAACGTTCTTAATACCCGCTCTCTTTACTCTTTCTTCCCTTAGATATCTTCCCTCTGTGCCTTCTGCCCCATCATCTTCCATTCCTGTTCAATCCACCTGTTTTAGTCCCGTCATTCTCTGCTTTCTTCTTCTATTTGTATCCTATTAGCCCCTTTTCTCCCATTTCTTCCCTATTTGCAATGTGGTGTAAGTTTTTTCACTGTTAGGTCTCTCTTTTGGTGCTCACTCAGAATCCTTCCATCTGCAAGCTGTATGCATGCCAGCGTGTATGGAGGTATGTAAGCCTCTGGGCAGGTACTTGATGTAGTTGTGCCAAGTGTAAGAAGAGACCACATTGATCAGGAACTCCTTGAAAACTCACGCATGGTGTGGGCGAATCATATATATGTCCTTAAAATTGATGCAGCCTTTTGGAGACTTGAAGAATTAACTGAAGAGCTCTGTGAACAGAGTTGCTGATCCCCCCATGGATCTCTTTCTCTGTGGTAGATTTATAAACAGCTCAGCCTTTCTGCTTGCTTTTGTGATGTAGGTGTGCATGTAGTGACTCTTTTATGAGATGCTTCTGTCATTTCCAGTCTGGTTTAGCAGCTGTAATCACTTAGCTTTTAACCAGGAGAACCTTTTATTAGCTTACTCATTTTTCTTTAACTCACTTTTTCTCATGATGAGTATCACAGGGCTAGAAGGGACATATCTGCTCCCACCAGGTGCTGTAAAATATCAGCCTGTAGTGATGGTTGTTAGCAGCAGCAGTTTGGCTGGAATGTGATGTTGGAAAGGTGAGGAGACTGGTGCTGGTCTGTGCAACCTAACTGGCAAAGTGGCAGCATATTGTGGACCACAACAAATGGGAAGTAC